CGGCCCCTCAGGCGCACGCGTCAGTCCAAGAAAGGCACGCGCCAGAGGAGCAAGAGCCACGCGTCCCTGCTGCACAGAGGCGCGTGGCGAATCTCTCGCCCGAAGGAAATTCAAGGCCCCCGTCGCAGCAGAATCTCGACGAAATCGAAACGGCGCGCGTTGCTGCTCGTCCGGATCTCGCCTCGATGGTGGCGAATCTGGACGCTACTACCCAGGCGAATCTACTCCAGATCCTCGCGCAACTTTCTGGAAATTCCGCCCGACGCGTTGTGGAGCGCTCCGTTTCGCCAGCGCCGAGGAACATTCGTGCTACACCTTCGCGGAGCGACCATATGGAAGACCGATACATCAATAATCCGCCGCCGAACGTCGGTGCGCTTCATCACATGTCCGAGCTGTTAGCGCTGCTTCAGCGCAATCCCGCCGGCGGAAGGCCAGCCGCTTCACAAAATCCCCGCCCAGCATCTCGCCATGTAGAGGCTCCCGAGGCGGCCGCGGACGAGGACGATGGCGAACAAGGCATTTTTGAGGAAGGTAATGGCCCTCGCTCTCTCCCACGCGCCCTTCCTCCTCACGCTCCTCCTCCGCACGCATCGTCGGCCCTCATTCCGATTCCCCCAGCACGTCCCCAATTGCGGTCAGCACTCGTCAAGAGCGATGGGGTTTGTACCCAAACGTTTGGTTTCGAACGGATTCAAATTATCGCTCGCCATGCGTTGAGCGTTTTACCCTCCGAGGGTAGTGAACAAGCGGCTCTCTATATAAAAGAGATTGAACAGGAGGCCGAGGAAAAGATTATGTTTCTATTTACCGCTGATCAACGCGGTTTTGACGTGGCCAATATGGCCCTAAAGATTAAATATGGGGAAGTCGTCGAGGACAAGACGGTGAAATCCGCCGCTCAAATTGTGGCGGCGATGAAAAAGAGCCGCCCCACTAGCAACCCATCCTTTCCCCAGCGGTTCGACCAGAATAACCGCGGTAGGGGCAATGGAGATCGTTCTTGGAACAAGTGGCGCCACGACGGGGATGGCCGTTGCTTCATTTGCCGCGAACCAGGCCATGGCTTTGCCCAATGCCCCCAGCGTGAGCAAGGGGCGAATCAGCTTGCGCGCATCGTTTAATTGATTGTCTCCACATCTTTGGAACTTGAGATTTTTTATATGTTGAAATTGGGCATTTTCAATGGCTTAAAATATGACACTCATGACGATTATTGCCAGGAGGCTTGCTATTTATTTCCCGCCTTGCCAAATAGGGACATCAATTTGATACACAAATTCTTATTCAAAGTAAATATGGACAACCCCCCTTCCAGGCGCTCTACACCGTCCCGCGCTTCCATATCCAACAACCTCTCATATGCGCGGTCGGTTACGCGGATGCTTCACCTGGTGGTCCGCGTGGTTCGACAGTAGCTTTATACTTTCTGTCATCTCACATGGCTATCAATTGCCATGGTTGAAAAACGAGCCTACACCTCGCCGTGCACCCAACCACCCGGGCGTGGCCCAGCATACCGACTTTGTTACAGAGGCAATTGTGGAGCTTGTAGCCACAGGTGCGGCACGTGTAGTTTCATCTCGAGCTCATAATACATGCTCCAGTCCGCTAAACGTAGTCGTACAGCCGACTAAGAAGCGGCTCATCCTAGACCTAAGGTATGTGAATATCTTTCTACGCATATCGAAATTTCGCTACGAAGGACTGAATCGTATTCCTGATCTCGTTCAGAAAGGTGATTGGTTATTTACAATCGACCTCAAATCCGGATACCACCATGTCGACATCCACCCTAGGTACTGGCGTTTTCTCGGCTTCTCCTTCCAAGGTGTGGAATATCAGTTTCTCTCGCTCCCCTTTGGGCTCGCGACTCCACCTTTTTTATTCACCCAACTCATCAAGCAGCTTGCCAAACGGTGGCGGGGCCAGGGCATTCGAGTCGTTCCCTACGTGGACGATATCCTTGTCATCAGTGCGAGCCATACCGATGCACTACGTGCGCGAGACACCATTCTTGTGGGTCTTAGAGCGGCGGGTTTTCTTCTAAACACAAAGATTTCTCAGCTTGAGCCGGTGCAACGCCTCAAGTTTCTCGGTCTACTCCTGGACTCCAAGAAAGTATCTTTCTCCGTCGAGCTCCGATTCTGGATGGTGCGCTTCGACGAGTTCAACGGCTCTCGATTCCATAACCCCCACACGTACGAAGCGGTCATCCACGTCGACGCCAGTGACATAGCTTGGGGAGTGGTGCTTTCCGATCTGAAAACTGACTCGCAGCCGCTCTCAGCTCCTATGTCCCACGCCCTGTCTGCTACCTCCAGCACGCTTCGTGAAATAACTGGCATTCTCTGGGCACTGACCTTATTCGCCCCGTGCATCCGAGACCAGCACGTCCTATTGCGCAGCGACAGTCAAGCTGCCTATTACATCATGCGCAAAGGAGGTTCTCGGCGCCCTGAGATCACCCTTGTCTGTCGCGCCATTATTCAGCTTTGCGTTAGCTACCGCATCCGTTTGTCAGTGCAGTGGATTCCTCGCGAGCTCAACACAGAGGCCGATGAGCTGTCCAAGGTCATCCACTCTGACGATTACTCACTCCGTTCTCCGTGGTTTCGCCTGGTCGATCGACGTTGGGGACCCCATACGATCGACCTCTTTGCGACTTCCACCAACCACCAATTGCCCCGGTTCTGTACGCCCACCTTTCATCCACGGGCAATAGCGCAGGATGCGTTCTCGATCAGTTGGCACGAGGAGAACGCGTACGCATTCCCGCCACCTTCACTAATCCCGGCGGTCATCGCTCACGCTCGACGGTCGCTCGCTAAGATAACGCTCCTCGTACCTCGCTGGCCTAGTGCCTTCTGGTGGCCCATTCTTTACCTGGATGGCACTTCTTGTGCCCCATTTATACTAGATCATGCTGAGCTTCCTCTAGGATCTTCTTGTCTCGCACTCGGTAGCGATATGCATGCGTTTGGTGGAATCGGGCTCCCTAACTCGCCCTTTATTGTTCTCCGCGTGAATTTTTCTATTGGATAAAAAACTGTTCGTGCGTGGCAGGATCCGATATTTGTAGCCTCCTACTGGACCTCCTCGCGCTCACGGTGGATCTGCGGGCCCAGTCCACCATCCGCACGTACGAGCCATACTGGCGGCAGTACCGCACTTTCTGCTCCAAACACTCACTCCAGTCGCTTCCTACCAACGATCTTATCACAGCTCTCTTCTTGCTGCACTCGATCCGGTCCGGTGCGACGCTATCCGCCGTTCGTTCCATCTGTTCTACCATCTCCTGCGCTCACTGGCTCCTAGGTGCCCCATCCCCTATCAAAGGGCCTCTCTCTTCACATGTCAAGGATTACGCCCAACGCACATGTGCCCAGCCCCACCTGGCAAAAGACCCCGTGCCCCCCTCCAAAATATACGACATGTGCGACATCTACTTCTCCTCACGCGATCCAGCTACCTTTCAGAAAGGGCTTATTCCGCTCCTTATGTTCTCGGCCTTTCTGCGCTTCTCCGACCTCGTTGCCCTTCAGTGGCACCAAATTGAGTTTGACGCCGACTGTATGTGGCTTTTCGTCCCTCGCTCCAAGACCGATCAAATGGGTGCTGGTGCCTGGGTCCCCGTGGCTGCGTCGGATGCTCGTCACTGCCCCGTTGCTCGCGTTAAGGAATTCCTCTTTTTGGCAGGATTCTCTCGCGCGTCCATTGGATCTCTCATTCGCGTCTTTCGACCCGGCTCAGGCGCGTTGCCTTCAGACGCCCCACCGTCTTACACTACCGTGCGGAACTGGTGCCGCGAGGCCTTCGCTCGCGTTGGCTTGGACCCTGCCACCCTTGGGACACACTCGTTTCGAAAGACGGCAGCTACACTCGCTGTTGATGCTGGTGTTCCTGATCGCCTTTTTAAGGCGCTGGGGCGGTGGCGCAGCGATGGTGCGAAGGAGATGTACATTACTCAGCTCGATTCTGAGTTGATTCGCGCATCCCGGCTCATGCAAGACCCAGCTCGGCAGAGCGCTACCGCCCGCTATGCGGCCACGGTCCGCCGTATTCGTCACCGCCCCTCGCCCTGATGTTTCGTTTTGTCCTATGACGACTGCATTGCAGACTCCTTGCTGAGTCTTGTCACAATATGAATAATTTAGAAATATATTTCTAAATTTAATGATTGTGACAAGATTCTAAAAGGGGGAATGCAATCAGGAGGCATTCCCCCCCCCTTATCCCTCGGCAGGTCCACAGACCTGCCACCTAGTCTCATTCTATCCATCTCAATTTGAGTTCCCTCCCGCCCACCCCCTCGCACGTGGAGACACTTAGCTAGTTTAGGGTCTAAGGTTTAGGGTCTAAGGTTTGAGTGGTTCACTTGCTTGTTCTTGTTACTTATATAGTGTGCCATGTAATTGATGATGATACTATGACGACTGCATTGCAGACTCCTTGCAGAGTCTTGTCACAATCGCATTGTTTTATACCACTGTGTAACCAACTACCTATTCGAACGTGCAATTGTGATCCAGACGCTACCCATAATAATGCAATTGTGACCACGATGATTATGACACGAAAAATGTAGAACGCGCGACATGACGAAGCCAATGCGGCGCTCAGCAACCCCATTCTGCTGCGGAGAGGCCGGAAGCGTGAACGACTGGAGGATGCCCTCCCCCTGACAAAAGTCCCGCAAGGGTCGGGGAGGCAAGGGTGGCGGCGGCAATAGCGGGGGGGGGATGGTGGTGGAGGTGGAGGTGGGAATGGTGGCGGTGGGGGTGGTGGCGGGGGTGGAGGTGTTGGTGGCGGCGGTGGCAGCTGCGGTGGGCATGGTGGCAGTGGAGGTGGCGGTGGTGGGAGCGGTGGCGGTGGCGGTGGCGGAGGTGGTGGCGGCAGTGGGAGCGGTGGTACCGGCGGTGGTGGCGGTGGTGGCGACGGCGGTGATGCAGAAAATCACTACCAATATTTTTTATAGATGCATTATTTTCAATATCGTATCATATCCAGCGCATTTGGCAGGAATTGTTTCCGAGCTCACAAGGCGAAAAAGGCAGCTTGTTAGGGGCTAGAAGGGCTTCAGTTGTCAGCACAAAAGGGGCTTTTCTTTGTGGAGTCGCAAAATCAGCTTCAATCCACAATGCTCGGAACCCCACCTGCGAATGACATGCACATTGTATAAAGCTTGATGTATGAGTAGCACAGTGGTTATTTTGTTCTCTCTCTCTCTCTCTCTCTCTCTCTCTCTCTCTCTCTCTCTCTCTCTCTCTCTCTCTCTCTCTCTCTCTCTCTCTCTCCTCTCTCTCTCTCTCTCTCTCTCTCCTCTCTCTCTCTCTCTCTCTCTCTCTCTCTCTCTCCCTCTCTCTCTCTCTCTCTCTCTCTCTCTCTCTCTCTCTCTCTCTCGCTCTCTCTCTCTCTCTCTCTCTCTCTCTCTCTCTCTCTGTGTGTGTGTGTTGCCAGCATCCAGGGTAAAAGAATGCAGCATCCACACCTAAAAAAACCGTCACATTGTCACCTCAGGGTAGTTGCTTAGTCGGTCACCTTGTGACCCCTCATAAAAAAACACCTCAGTCATCTTGCTAACCACATCTTTGGATGTAAATTCAAACCAACAAACAAACAAACAAAACTCCTTCGTTGTAGTCACCTTGGGAACATCGCTGATGGAGGAGCTAAAGTGCCACAAGCCATCCTCAGGGTGGTGCTTGGGCGGCGATACCTTGTGCAGAAAGAAGGGAGTGGCCTGCACACACAGGTCGAACTTGCCTGCATATGTGCCCGGCATTGTTGGCATAGGCGCCATGCTAAGGGGGAGGGGGAGGAAGGTGTTGAGAGGGTGGGGAGGATGCAGGGAGAGAGGTCAGCAAGTGAGGAGAAAAGAGGGGTTGAGCTGCATGAACAGGACATACGACACACCACTCACCACTCCTTTACACCACTCACCACCCCTTTCACCTCTCACCACCCTTTGCACCACTCACCACCCCTTGGAGCCTCGCTGCAGCACGAAGCGGAAGTCTCGCCGCTCGCTGGCTGTGCGGCCAGTCCTATGAGACATGGGGAGCATGGTAGGGGCAGGGAAGGGAGGGGGGGAGGAGGGAAGGGGGTAACGGGGGAATGGGGGAATGGGGAAAGGGGGGAAGGGGGAAAGGGGGAAAGGGGGTAATGGGGGGAATAAGGGCTCGGAGAAGGGAAGTTGGGCGGATAATGTGCGGGTTTCAGGTTTGGGGACGAAGGGAGAGTTTAATGAAACGAAATAAAACAGATTGGTATTTTGATAGCAATACCGAACAGCTATGATGACAAAGAAACTGCGGTCCCATGAAACATGCAGAAAGCTGAACAAGAGCTTGAAACGCAGCAACTAAACAAACCCCTCTTCCCTACCCCTTCGTTTTACTCCTACCATCTCCTCTCCCTTCCCCTGCTCCTTTTTTCCCTCCCCCTCCACTTTCCCCTCCTCCACTTCCTCCCCCATTATTCCCCCCCCCCCCTCACCATGCTCTAACTGCCAACGGCTTCCTGTCTGACGTGGCATTGATGGTGAACGTGGACCAATCAAACTGCCACCTCATCCGCGGCCAGTCAACAGGTGGCAGCTCAGGAACGCAGCCCCAGGGATGCGGCGGCTGCTCCTGATTGGTCAGCTTGTGTCCCTCCCAACTCCCCTCGTCCTTGCCGAGCCTGTGCTGTTTTCCTTTCCTCCACGACAAACACGCCCGTGCCCTCAACTCTGTCGAAGCGCTTGTGGCGAGTGGGGGTATAGTGGTGGGCGTTGGGGGGGCGGGTCCAAGTGAGGGAGGGGCGGGAAGAGGCTGGAAGAGTGGCACAGGAGGAATTGGTGTGGAGGAGAGAAGCGAGGAAGGAGAGGGTGGCTTGGTTGGCCTGTGGAAGGGCGTGGGGGGTTGAAGAGGTTGTTTGAAGAGGGGGGTTAGGGTTTAGGGAAAGAGGGCATCGGGGGATGTGATGATGGGAATCAGTCATGCACACATGTACACGAGGGGCCCAGGAGGAGTTGAGAGGAGGAGGGAATGGAAGGAAAGGGTGGCTTTTGCAGAGGGGGAGTGGGAGAGGGATGGAGAGGGGAGGAGGGGAAGGGGGGGTTGCAAGGGTGAAGGATCGTGAGGAGCCAATGAAAGATGACTCCAAGACGATGGTATGGAGCTGAGTGCATCGCAATGATGATGCTATGGAGATTAGTGCACTTTTGAGCCAACTCAAAAGTAATCATGATGCTTATGGAGATTAGTGCACTTTTGAGCCAACTCAAAAGTAATCATGATGCTATGGAGATTAGTGCACTTTTGAGCCAACTCAAAAGTAATCATGATGCTATGGAGATTAGTGCACTTTTGAGCCAACTCAAAAGTAATCATGATGCTATGGAGATTAGTGCACTTTTGAGCCAACTCAAAAGTAATCATGATGCTATGAAGATTAGTGCACTTTTGAGCCAACTCAAAAGTAATCATGATGCTATGGAGATTAGTGCACTTTTGAGCCAACTCAAAAGTAATCATGATGCTATGGAGATTAGTGCACTTTTGAGCCAACTCAAAAGTAATCATGATGCTATGGAGATTAGTGCACCTTTGAGCCAACTCAAAAGTAATCATGATGCTATGGAGATTAGTGCACCTTTGAGCCAACTCAAAAGTAATCATGATGCTATGGAGATTAGTGCACTTTTGAGCCAACTCAAAAGTAATCATGATGCTATGGAGATTAGTGCACTTTTGAGTGGAATCAAAATGGAGTTGAGTGCACTTGTGAGTGGAATCAAAATGGAGTGCAGTACAGACTCATCACAATGTGCTTAAGACGCATGGATGTTCATGAGCCTATGAGAGTGGGGGATGTCCATGAGGCTAGGTTTTTTTTTTTTCTATACATTTCTCAAAGACACCCTGCTCTTATTACACATCCATTGGCTGACGTGGCTCTGCTCACCAATTGGTTGACGTGGGTCTGCTCGCCCATTGGTTGACGCGAGTCTGCTCGCCCATTGGTTGACGCGAGTCTGCTCACCCATTGGTTGACGTGGATCTGCTCACCCATTGGTTGATGTGGATCTGCTCACCCATTGGTTGACGTGGGTCTGCTCACCCATTGGTTGATTCGGATCTGCATGTGCTCCGAGTTGGCCATGATCTTGAGCAGCTTTGGCTCCGGCATGGTGTCCCACCAGATGTACCTGCCATAGAGGAGAAGGCGAGGGGTGAGAGAGGGGGAGAATGGGGGGAGACGGGGGGGGGGGGGGGGGGAAGGGGGAGTGGGAAAAGAGAGGGGGGGGTGGGGAGAGAGAGAGGGGGGGGGGCAGAGAGGGGGGAGTGCGGGCAGAGAGGGGGAGGGTGGGGGGAGTTGGCCATGATCTTGAGCAGCTTCGCCTCTGGCATGTCATCCCACCAGATGTACTCTGGCAGGGGGGAGGGGGGAGAGAGAAGGGAGGGCACGGGAGAGTGTTGGGAGAGTAACGTGAGAGTGGGGGGGAGTAGGGGAGGAGTGGGGGAGATTTGCGGAGGGTGGGGGTAGGGGAAAGTGGAAGGGCAGGGGAGAGTGGAAGGGAAGGGAAGAGTGAAAAAAACGGAATGTAGTTCCACCACATGTACCTGAGAAAGCAGAGAGTGGGTGGGGGACAGAGGGGGAAAGGGAATGTCGTTGCACTGTACCCGCCGTCGCCCGATGTAGCAGTGCGGAACGAGTGGTGGGGTGGAGTGTTTTAGCAGTGAGAATGGGAAGCAGCGGCGACATATGAGGTCTCACGAGGGATGTGCTGCAAAGTGCAGTTTCCAACTCACGAGGGATGTGCTTTGGATCGACCACGCTTACATGTCACCACACTCTACGTGTCACCACACGAATGTGTCAGCACACGCATGTGTCAGCACACGCATGTGTGAGCACACGCATGTGTGAGCACACGCATGTGTGAGCACACGCACGTGCCAGCCCACTCACGTGTCATCCAGTGCCAGCACTTCGTCATTAGCTGCAGTGACGAGCAACTTGGGCATGGTGAGGCGCTCTCTGAAGTAGTAGGGATCTGTGTCCTCCTGCACCCAGCCAGCCACGCAGTGATGCGAGGGTCAGGGGGTGGTGTGAGGGTCAAGGGGTGGTGTGAGGGTCAAGGGGTGGTGTGAGGGTCAGGGGGTGGTGTGAGGTGAGGGACTATGGAACATCACGGGGAGCGTGGAGGGGTGATATGATGGGCAAGGGTGATGTGATGATGAGAATTGAAAAACGGCAGCTTGGGCATGGCGAGGTGCTCCTTGAAGCAGTAAGGTTGTGTGGTGAGGCAGTGTGAGGCAGTGTGAGGCAGTGTGAGGCAGTGTGAGGCAGTGTGAGAGAGCAGAGCACGAATGGAGTGGAGAGGCATGAGTGCAGCGCAAGAGGAACACAAGGTGAGTCGGGTGGTTGTAGCAGCACGAGGCAGGTAGGAAAATGGAGATGAGAGGAAAATGGAGATGAGAGGAAAAGACACAGATCGGGCATAGGCAGCACAAGTGCCAGCATTCTGTCACACACTCCCGTCACCCTGTGCTCACAATGACCCGTTGGAAGTGGGGCGACTGCAGGTGGGAGGTGACGTTAAAGATTGCGTAGAACTTGAGGATGACGGGCCATGCGCCTAGCGAGTCGTGCAGGTGCTGCAAGTTGCGCCCAAAGTCAAGCAGGTCGAAGCCGTACGCCACTAGGCCCACCACCCTCTGCCATGGGAAGAAAAAAAAGAAGGAACAGAGAAGAGAAGCATGCATGGATGGATGGATGTTTGATGAAGACGTCTTTGAAACAATTGAGATGAAATCTTTGGAAACAAGTAGGGCTGAGCTGCAGACACGGGTAAATCCCAAGGTGCACTACACTCTATGGCATGGATATGACATGCCTAAGACAAGTGCAAGGCACTGTGTACCTCATGACATGCAACAAAGATATGAAACGAAAGTACAGATGAAAGCAATATAAAGATCACACTTATATGGCACTCACCACACAGGCAATGCCATGCAATGGTATATGCCATGCAGTGGTAGGTGCCATGCAATGGTATATGCCATGCAATGGTAGGTGCCATGCAATGGTAGGTGCCATGCAATGGTAGGTGCCATGGAATGGTATATGCCATGCAATGGTATATGCCATGGAATGGTATATGCCATGCAATGGTATATGCCATGCAATGGTATATGCCATGCAATGGTATATGCCATGCAATGGTATATGCCATGCAATGGTATATGCCATGCAATGGTATATGCCATGCAATGGTATATGCCATGCAATGGTGTATGCCATGCAATGGTGTATGCCATGCAATGGTATATGCCATGCAATGGTATATGCCATGCAATGGTAGGTGCCATGCAATGGTAGGTGCCATGCAATGGTATGTGCCATGCAATGGTAGGTGCCATGCAATGGTATATGCCATGCAATGGTATGTGCCATGCAATGGTAGGTTCCATGCAATGGTAGGTGCCATGCAATGGTAGGAGGTGCCATCCAATGCCATGCAGGTGGACGCATCAGCCACGGCCGCCCTTCTCACTTTATCCATGGCTGACGTCACCCACGACATCAGTCCTCGCTTGCTCACTCCCATGAGAATAAAGCCTTCCACCTGTCACATGCCGACACACATCCCATTCAACATATCCCATGCCACATATCCCAACCCATGCCACACCATCCCGTGCCACAACAATCTACATGCCACACACCACATAACATCACATCCAATATTCGATGTATGCCACACGCCACATCAAGTTTGACAGCTGTGCGCTGTTTGTGCCTCGATTAACCAGAATGTGTGACACAACGCAATCAGAACATGCCTGCCAGCAACCCACGACCTGGTAGAGACAAGCAAGGCACTGACTGACCCGCAGGTGGGGGCAGGTGGTGATGTGGCAGTGACAGACCACAGAGGTACCAACCAGACCGGCATTGACCGGCAGCGAGCGAGCAGAGAGGCACTGACCGGCAGCGAGCGAGCAGAGAGGCACTGACCGGCAGCGAGCGAGCAGAGTGGCACTGACCGGCAGCGAGCGAGCAGAGAGGCACTGACCGGCAGGTGGGGGAGGATCTCCCGGGAGGCGAGCTGCAGCGCGTCCATTCCCCTCACGATGGACTTGGCCATGGGGACCGTGATGAGCCACTCCATCTGATCTGGATGCGCCACCGCCATTGCAAAGGTGACTGGAAGCGACGAGCATGCATGCGTGGATGGATGCATGAATTGGCGGGCCGATGGATGAACATGCGATTGTTCGGGATTGTTTTGTAGACTTACATATTCACGGATGATTACCCTCCCGGAGAGATGTGCAAATACATTAATTTGGGGCGTTTCAGACGATGTGGCTCATGTATGTGCGTCGGGACGATCCATTGGTCATCTCGTCATGTAGATGTTTGCGGCGGGTAAACACACATTCACATTAGCGCACTCACTTGAACATACACATCTCGCCATGAACTCATTCACCTTTCCATCACCTCACCCACACACCATCACCTCACTACTCACTCACACGCCATGATCTCGTCTTCTTTCAGCTCTTCAAACTTGCCCGGCCCGTTAGGCCCCACATAGAAAGAAGTTGGCTGCATAGGCTGCTGATGCAGCACTGCTCCCAGGATCCCCAGCTCAACTACCAAGCTGCCACATAGCATGGCATGGAATACACACAAGGGCAGAAAAAGTGGGGACAGGTGGTGGGTGAGGCGATGGTGCTTCTCTGGCGGTCCTTATAGCATTTGGAACGAAGGAACTACCAGGTCCACTGTTATGCGGCAACGTGGCACTGAATAATGTATAAGAGCGCCACCAGACCAACTCAACAACCCCATCGCCTATGTCTGCCTGACTATCCCAGACCATTGCTTACTTCCCCATGACAATCTATGCACCATCCTCTGGCCAGGCCGCATTTCCCGCCCCGCTGTGTGATCACACCAAGGAAACGAGCCCTCAAGCCCCAGCAGCAGCAGCAGCAGCAGCAGCAGCAGCAGCAGCAGTGGCAGTAAGGGGCGAAGGCAGCACGTACAGGGCGAAGGCAGCACGTACGGGGCGAAGGCAGCACGTACGGGGCGAAGGCAGCACGTACGGGGCGAAGGCAGCGGTGAACATCTCGTCCTTGCGAGGCACGTGGTGGTAGTGGGACTTGGACCACCCCGACCCAATGATGAACAGCACCAGGCCTTTGTTCGCCTTGTGCATGTCGTCAGGCGCCTGTGGCACAGTGCACGGTCACAAGGGAAAACGACAGGGCAGCTTACAATAACTCCCTATCATGGACAAGAAATGACCAGGTGGTGAGTGGTTCTGTAAAAAAAAAAACATGTATTAGAATCCACGTCTGACATTTATCAGACACGTTTTCGCCCGGCTCTCACAGTACAACTTCGCCGTCCACAATCTCAATCAGTTCATGTTACCACAATTGCAGCACTGTGCCTTACAATCACGGTCATCCAATGCCACCATTGGTTGCGGTTAGTAACGGTCCTGTTGAACCAACGGTGTGTGGTAACCCGCAGAATGTAACCAGTCCACCACCCCTTGGGGGCCCTGTCTCGCATGCGGTTGGCAGAGTCCTCCCACCTGCTTCAACCAAACGTCCAAATCCATCCGCGTTAGTAGTAGTAGCATTTCCTCATTGACGCCCCCATTAGACGAACGCAAATGCATGTTCACCTCAATTGACCACATTGATGATTCGTTACTGTCAGACGGATCCTGATCGGATCTGAAACGCTCACCAGAATTCTGACGGATCCTGAACGGCATAAATGTATCTATCCGGTCGCTTCTCGCGACAATTCCTCGCAACTTCACAACCACTCTGCGGGAAAGCGGAGGGAGGTGACGCAGGCCCCCTGGGGAGGAACGACGGCCAGAATGGTAGTGCATATCCTGTCGATGATAAGAGAAATGCGACACCGGATATTGACGCGACAATTGTGACGGCTGCCACAGTGACAGAAGCTGCTCTTTGCGAACTAATCGAATAGGAGCGCGTGAACCAGCAACTAATGAGCGACCTGTGCAGGCGTACCATGGCGGATGACCACGGCGGATGGTAAAACAGGCTTTTCTTACACCTAGGCATCTGTAAGACATCTGTTACGGGGCGTAGGAGATGTATTCTGGCACAAATGCGCTTACCTGCGGTGCTCGGTGTTGAAGGCGGTTAGCTACTAACCACAACTACAACGACCTAAGTAAACCTACAAGGACAGATTATGATGAGGGAGGAAGCAAGGACCTGAGAAGATCGGACGCTACCTGTGTTGGGGCGGCGGAAGAAAAAACACGGCAGTGGCGGGTGGCACCAACTCACGCCTCATTCTGAACCATCCACCTCCCCTCACAACCTCCCATTCCGCTTTGCAGGTCGACGACGTTCTGTGTTTTCGTGGAGGACTTCCACGTACATAGCGACGCTAAGTCGCATTGCCGGCGTGTTTGTTTGCTTTTTCTTGTTTTTTTACGTTACGAGTACTCGTTCCCCTAGTTTGATATACGTTTTTTTCATCTTCAATGTAGTACCCTAAATGTCTTGTTCGTTGTTTCCGCTATCTTTTCGCTTCATAATAACGCATATCTCCTCTATTTGCAGCTCTATTTTATGTTACCTTCTCGATTATTTGTTAACTTCTAGTTTTTCCAATTGCAGCTTGTTGCTTTATTTCGGTTAAGACAAAGATAGTGGAACATCTTTGTCGTCGTTTCCGTAAACATCGGTATGCGGTTGAGGCTAAGTATGATGTTTTTGTGTACTATCGCAGGGCGCACGATCAAACCAGACAGGGCGATCGTGACCTCCCTGCCCGAGTCAGGACAGCGCACGAACGCGCTGTACAGCACGACCGCGATTTTCGGTCGTGCATGATTGCACACCTGAGGGGTGCGCGTGTGTTTCGGGGGGTGCTGAGGGATCGTGAGGGATGCTCGAGGTTTGGCTCGAGATTTCAGTTGAATAACTGAATCTCGAGTCACGTCCTTTTCTGTCGTGGCGTGTGGCACGTGGGGTTGCTCGGGATTACAGTTGGAAAATTGTATACTGCATTGACTCGCGGATCAAGTAAATTCTCGCGAAACTCACGCCGCATTGCCAAATAATTTCGCCACAGGTACAATTCGGTTACTCGCGTCATCCAACGGTTCAATCCGTTTCATGACTGTAAACTCGCATGGAACTCATGTGAGTCACATTAGAGGCACATGGAAGTCATGAGTGCTCATGCGAGGAGTCAGCACAGGCAATTGTCCTAAGTGAAATTTGAAGACAGGTTTTTACAAGAGGGGGAAGAAGACAAGAGCCCAATAAGTTGAGCAACCGTCTACAAGTACAACATGGCGAAGATCCAAAATTCAGTTTGACAATTGCTTTGCTATTTTCCTTTGCTTGTGTGTTGGACGACATAAAAAATGCTTGCTTGTGCTTGCTTGTGATCAACCTTTCTAGTGGAAATATTTTCTGAATCTCTCTTTTAACGAGTTAAGTTTCTCTATCAACTTATTGACGTGAAGGGCTTTTCTGCACACGAGCCAATCCGTTGTTGAATGCTGCGCAACGAAATTTGGGAACGCTCTAGTACACACGACTACTTTTGCACTTACGGAATTCCCTCTACAACACCGACCCTTGGATAGGGGCTGGTTCTACCAAGCACCCAAGGACCCTTGGAGGTGATCCCGTGGGGACTGCCTAGTGTGATTAAAAGGTGTGTTAAGAGCCTATAGATCCCGAATAGCTGTCAATACGTGGTATCAGAGCCGTGGTTCTAAAGACTGCCGTTAGAACTGTCAACGGGAGTTGTGTGTTGGCCCATCCTAGCTTGGGCAGAGCCGACTTCGGGGTTGGGTGTACGAGAAATGCAGCCGACTTGCAGCAGTGGGCGACGCCGACTTGGGCGAGCTGGTCGACGGGTTTGGTCGACCTGCACGGGGACACTGTAATGCCGCCGACTTGGGAAGCCGGCGGCCGACTTCAACTGGTGGTCGACGATGGGGCTCGTCGACTCGGAAGTCGGCACCGACTTGGGGGCGCCGACTTGGGGAGTTGCCGGCTTTGTGAAGTCGACTAGAGGAGGTCGACCTGGGTGGTCGACGGGTGCGGACATCAGCTGGTCGACACTGGCCACGCAAGTCGACACAGACTTGGTGGTTGCCCGGTCGACCAGGTTACCCGGGCGACGGGGATCTGCGGAGGTGCGCGATCGTCGCCCAGGTGATTTTGGCGAGGCTGACCCCGGTGGTGGTATCCTGAGGTCGATCTGGAGGATCAGGTGCAGACGTGGGCACGTGGTCGACTTGGTGTCTGTGCTGTGCAGGTGACGAAGCACAGCATGCCAATCAGCTGCGAGCACCTGCGAAGCAGGTGTGCTTCTGTTATGCAAGTGCAACGTTGTTCAGCCGCCATTCTGCAGCGTTGGCGCACCGTCGACTTCCAGCGCTGGCAGACCGCGACTTTGCTCTGCTGAAGCGTCGTCGACCTTGCAGTGCTGGAACGCGGTCGACCGTGCTGCGCTGGCAGTCGACCAGCTTGTGTGCTAGCTCCTGATGTAGTCAGTGTTGCTTTGCCATTGTGTACTATTGTTGTGGGCATTTCCTAGTGAAACTCTTTCCAGTTCTCCCTGTGTATGTGCACGTAGAGTGAACACGAGCAAACGACTAAGAAACGAACTCAGAGATCACCCTCACACCCGTGCCTTGCTCGTAGTCAGGCTCCCGTTGTTAGATTCATTTCCGCATGGTGCGGTGAGCGTGGACGGCACCGCGACTTACCTTTCATTCTAGTCGATTTTGTTGGACTTACCCATCGTGTTCGTAGGCCGGTAGCTATGCGTTAGTCACCATGGTGGGCGTGGGTGACGCAGGGGTGGAAGACAACCTGGAGGCACGGCTGGAGGATGCGAGGAGACGCCACTTGGCTAGCGAGTACGGAGAAACGCTCCCCCTGGCGGTCGTCGAGGCGGGCATCCGCGCCGTGTGGGCAGCGGAGCATCCTTCTTGACCTGCCTCTCCTCGACCGGTGAACAACGAGGGCGGCGTCGACGTGGGCGTCAACGTCGGTGATCAAGTCGCCAGCAGTGCAGGAGGCATGTCGAGGCAAAAAGGGGTGTTCCGAACGGCCGACGGTGAAGTCGGCGGTGTTCAGGCACGAGGGCTACAGTCGTCGGCGGCTACGTTCTCCTCGCAAGGCGACGTCGGTGGACGTCAAGGCCACGCGACGCTGGCATCGGCGACCCACGTGACTGCATAGGGGATCGCACCGACCTACGGGTACTTCAAGTTCCCGCCGGACAAGGTCTCTGTCACGGCGCCGCTGGTCGGTCGGCACGACCTCCTCACGTGGAAGCAATCCATGGAGCCCCAGCTGGAGATGGCCGGGCTGATGTGCTTTGCTGATGGCACCGTGGAGATGCCGCCGGAGAGCAACGCCGAGCTGCGCAGGGAGTTTCGCGCTATGCAGCTGCTGACCTTCACGGTCATCTCGCGGTGCTGCTCACCAGTGGTGCAGGTTGCTTTGAAGTCTGGTCGGCGTCACCTGGACGCAGGGCATCAGGCGCGGTGGTTCATCACGGCGACGTACCAGGTCTCCGACGACCTGTACATTGGCCAGTTGGAGGAGCTGATGACGCACCTGTGGATGGGCGAGCAGGAGACGGTGACCGACTACTGCAACCAAGCTCGGCGTCTTCTTGCCTGCATGTGGATGGCCGGCGTCGAATACTCCACGGTGTCGTAAGTCCCGCATGTCATCAAGGGGCTCCCGAGTAGCTACAACCTGATGAAGCGACTTTCGGTGGTGCCAGGTACGAGGGAGTAGCTCGACGAGGACTCCCTGACCTCGTCCATCCTCAGGGACGCGGCGATGCAGGAGGTCGGGAGGTCCACGGAGCTCGTGCCGCAGGCGAACTACGTCACCCCGACGCAGCAAGGAAGTCGACCGGGGCATCGCGGCAAGCCTGGCCGCGGTGGTAGCGGAGGTGGGAAGCCGGCCAAGGACGCCGACAAGGGGAAGTCGGCGAAGGACATCGGTCGTGGAGGAGGAGGTCGACGCCGGGAGTGCCGACTGTGCGGTGACCCTGATCACCTCTCCTTCGAGTGCCCCGACCGCACCGACTCCGACGACGACGACACCCAGGGTGGCCGAGGCAGGTCGGCCAGTCGTTGCCCTCGTTGGGAGAGCAAGCCGCGAAAGGAGAAACAGTCAACCAATTCGGCATCGGCGAAGGACGCCGACTCCTCCTCTGGCGGCAAGGGGCGAGGCAATGGGCAGGCGTCGTGCTCGCTGGTCGGCATCGTGGAGCCGACCGTCTCGCTGGCGCCGGAGGCCAGTGAGGACTTCCACGCGGTGGCGGCAGCCGTGCAGGCGAACCCGGCGGTGGTCCTGCTCGACACCACCTGATGGGGACGAAGGCAGCCTTCGTCGACTTGGGACCGAGCGGCGACGTTACGCATGTGCGTGACTTCAATGGGGCGCTGCAGGACGTCCACGGCCGAGACACTGTCCCCTTGCAAGGAGAAGTCGGGAAGCAAGTGCTCATCCCTTACGTGCTTTACGTCCCGGGCGTGTAGGCGAACATGTTGTCGGCTGGCCAGCTGAAGGAGAGCGGCGTGAAGCTGACGGACGACGGTGACAGGATGCTCCTCGTCTCGGCAACGGGGGACGTTCTTGGTCGTGCGACGTTCACCAGCCGGGTTCTCTGCACCGACCTTCGTCCCTGCTCGACAAAGTCGACGTCGGCACCGACTTCAGTAGTGGCTCTGCGGGCGATCGTCTCGGCGACGAAGTCGACGCCGGCTAGATGGCACGCGAGACTTGCTCACGTCGGCATCGACACGATCCAGAGCTCGGCGAAGCATGAGGTTGCCACCGGCCTGGACATCCAGCCGTCGACCAGCAGCGACTCTCCGTGTGTCTCGTGCGTCGGCGGGAAGCTGGCGCGGCACACCTTCCCTGACAAGGGCTCGGACGCCGACAACGCCCTGGCTGTCGTGCACGTCGACTTATGCGGGCCATTTTGGGTGGCTGCCAAGGATGGCAGCTTGTACTTCTTGCTGCTGAAGGACCGCAAGACCCGCTATGTGTGGGCCAGT